CTCTCTCTCTCTCTCTCGCTCTCCCCGCGACCGTGAGCGATGCTTTTGAGGAAAACCGGGCTCGAAAGGTGTTGCTTTCCGCCTCCGCGGCTGCAACCCCTGAGTCAGGCGAGGGTAGGCCCGGGCTGGGGTGGCAGATCAGAGCGAGGGGGACCAGCTGTTGCAGCAGTAATAACTGTGCCCAGACTTGTTGAATTGGGGGCCGAAGGTTACCCTTCCCTGAGGCACCCAACCTGGACTCCAACGGTGGCTATGGAGGCGCCCAGACATCCCCACCCTCCCTTCCGTTCCTCCTTTGGAGACCCAAGAGAGAAGGTCTCCTGCCTGTTCCAGCACACTTAGCTGGCAGGAAGGCACTGCTTGCAACAAGATACTGCTGGAGAATATGAAGGAGGTATTTTTGTGACTACTGTACTGTGAAGTGTAGTCCGAGCTACTCCCCATCTCGTTAAAACCTGATTCATCCCCACCCCCAATAATCTTATCCTTGCTGGGAGCAGCTGAAGCCATCTTTCCCCCTTGTCTCATGCAGAGCTCAGTGCCGGGATGGATGCGTTTATGAAGGGCTTGTCCAAGGCAAAGGAAGGGGTTGTGGCTGCAGCAGAGAAGACCAAGGAAGGGGTAACAGTGGCAGCAGAGAAGACCAAGGAAGGCATGCTGTATGTTGGTAAGGTTGCTGCAGGCAAAGCTGCAGAGCTGCCCCTTTCACCATGCCCCCCCCCCCTTGCAGGGAAACAAATCTGCCAAGCAGAGAGAGAGGAAAGATTAAAAGAGAAGGAGGAGGCAGGCAGGCTTCCATTGGTTAGGGTTTTATCATTATTCTAGTTGATTCCTCCAAAGTGACAATGGCTTCCCTTCCTCAATAATTATTTCTGTCTATGCAATGATTCTAGATAAGAAACAAAAGAGAGAGAGAAAATCCAATGGTAGGATTCCTTTCTGCGCTTTTCTGTATTCAACCTTTCTGATTGCCTTCAGTATCCAAAAGATTTCATCTTCTAGGGCTCACCTTTATCTATGAGATTATCTTTGATTTTCAAGCAATTATCATGTCTCTTTTCTTCTGTGATAGATCAGATTTCAAATCCAATTAAGAGAACACTGGTTGAATGCACTGGTTTATTTAATTTTGGTTTAGTATGTTGTGTGAACCCAAACATTATAAAAGCCTCTCGACCTTTTACTTCATGATTTGAAACCGCTTCAGTTCTTGAGATGTGTTTTCCTTTCTGTACAGATGCAATCCCAACTCATGAGGTGGAGTGTTCTGGAGTCTTTCTGCTACTCCACACATGAGATGGAATGTTTTCATTCTGCCGGGGGGGGGGGGGGAGACCATTGGTATCTCTCAAAGCCTTTTTCCTACCACAAACTCCAAGGGTATAGTCCCTTGGGAAAAAGCAGGGATGTGACAGATTATGAATTTATCTTAATGTTCAATTTCATCCAATTTTATAAATTCATCAGTGAACCATTCTACCAACACATGAATAAATCATGCCTCCACTAATATTACACTCTTTTTTGAAATGATGAAACCCACTCCCAAATTCTTCATTCCAGAGAATCATCTATCAACTTCTCATCATCATTCCATTTTGTCATTCATCATCTTAGTGCTGACTCACAATCTTCCCGTACAATTGCTCTTCTTCCTTGTAAAACTGTAAACTCAATATAAATAAAATAAACACTGAATGAGTGCAGTTGTAACTAATTATAATTGTGATGCCATTTTCAAAAAACAAGGCAACAAAAATCTTCAGCAACACCATAAAGTATAGGTAGTTCTCGACTTACAACCATTTATTTGATTCCATTTGCAGTTACAACAGCACTGAACAAAGTGATATGATCATTTTTCACACAATAATTGCAGCATCTTCATGGTCACAGCCCTACATGGGGCAGCCTCTACATGGGGCAGCCCTTGAAGAGCATTCGGAGACTTCAGCTTGTCCAGAATGCAGC